GACCCTCCGGACTGGGGACCTGGGGCACTTCCGGCGGCTCTTACCCCACCCGCCTGGCCAGGGGCGTCAGGCCTGTTCCCAACTGCCCCAGCATTGCCCACGTGAGGTTACTGAATGATGGTCCCACAGGACCCCAACCCCCATGGCGACCGCACTGACACCACGTCTCCTTGGGAATACGCGTTTAATAAGGAAAATTCCAGCAGGGCCCTTTCCCGCCTGGGCCAGGCGACCCCACACGACGGGAGCCAAACTCAGGGACAGTCTCCAGCATCTGTACCCACAGACCGTCCCTGCCATCAGTCACGAGACCCAAGGCGAGACCAGCCCCTCGCCGCCAGCTGCTCTGTCTCCACCTGCGGCGCTTGCTGGGAGGAGCGGGCGCCAGCGCAGCCTGCCGGACACTGGGCTGCCTCATGGCTCTGGGAGCTAGGGCGCAACCTTTGGGGATGCCCCCAAGCACCCAGGACCCGAGGGCAGCTCCAAACACCAGGTCCCAGGCAGGACCAGGGCCAGCTGCACCCAGGGCTGGGACCCAGCTTTCCTCAGAGTGGCCGCCTGGGCTGTCCTGGCGACTCTGGGCAGCCCTGAGGAGCCCGAGCTTGTCCTGCCTGCCGGGGGCCCAGGGCTGCATCACACGTAGTCTAGAATCTCCGTCTCCATCTCGTTCTCGCTCCCGTCGGACGGCTTGAAGTCCTCCTCCTCGTCCTCCCCGTCCTCCCCGGATTCGTACGTCAGCTGCTCTTTCCCACCGTCAGCCTTGGCCGGGCCGGAGAAGAGAGCTGGGGCCAGGGGACAAAGCCACATGTCCCCAGGCTCCTGGCAGGCCCCGGACCCCCAGAACAGGCTCTCGGGGGCCTGGGCCCGAGCTCTGGACGTGGGTGGCCGAGGGACCTGGACTTGGGCACTGCAGGGGAACACTGACAGCTGTGCAGACTGCGTCCCAGGGCTCCACAGGCCCAATGACTCCCTGAGAATGTGCGTGACATTCGTCAGTGCCTTTTTCTGGGAAAAGGATCTGTAGCCTGGATTAGATCCTCAGAGGCGGCTATGTCCCAAACGAGGCTCAGGAGCCTCGCTCCCATCGGCAACATGGGGTTCTGGGAGGGCCTGGGGGGGCCCTCTTGCTTCCTCTCCCAAGCCTCATCAGACCTGTAGCCCAGAAAGAGCTGACCCCTCCCACCTCATGGCCTCCTAGTCCCGGGGAGGGCCAGCAGTGCGGGGTGACGGGACCTGGCTCTCCCAGGGGAAGACGCAGACCACACCCACGTGTGGCTGGGAAATGTAGAATGGAGTCGGGGTATAAAGGGGTGGCCCCGGACGGCAGTGCCAACACGCCCACCCAGGCAGCCACGGCGGGCCGCCAGGGGGCGCTGGCTGAGCCCCAGCTCACAAGGCCTACTTCCAACCAGTGTCAGGGGGCAAGGGATCCCAGCTGGGTGCAATTTCTCGAGAACGGGCCCATTAGGGACACTTGCTCTGTCCCCTGGGGCCCCCGCCCCCGTTGCCCCGAGCGGCTCTCACCAGGCCTCTTGGAGCGGATGGTCTGCCGGATCATGAGCGACATGGCGTCCCGCAGGTCGTCGCTGGTCTTGGGGAGGCACCAGCCGTCCCGTTCCGTGCAGGACTCCTCAGCCCCGTCATTGCGGTGGATGATCTTCTGCAACCTGGGGGAGTGGGGCGCCAAGTTCTGGGGGGCTCCCTGCTAACGGGGAGCGGTGGCAGAAAGACGCGTGTAGAGTGACATCGCGAGGGCGGGCCACGGTAGTGAAGAGCATCCTCGGAAGCTGGGGTCCTTCACCGGGGGGTCCCCGACCCCTCGAACCACACCAAGCGGGGCGGGTGCCCACACCCCTCCCCCTGGGGAGTTACCAGACCTTGAGCTGTTTCACGTGCCCCTCCCCCAGCTTATCACTAAGAGTAACCAGGGTCAAATTCTGGGATGCTGGTCAGTTCGGGGTGATCGGAAACCGTGTCACGAATCCCCCCGTGGGCTGTGGAGGGGAACACAGCAGCAGACCGTCTCTGGCCACCACGGCGCTGTGTGTGGGACGCAGCACAGCCGGCCGCTTGGGCAGGCGGGCAGCCCAAGGTGGACGCTGGAGGCCACTCCCGACAGCCGCGCGAGCCAACGCGGAGGACTCTTCTGGAGCACTCACGCCCTGGCGGGCGACCTTCTCGCCGAGACTTAGGCTGACAGTAGAGGGGGGCTTGGGGGGAGCCCCCCACCCCCGTACGTACTCTTCCACGTTCAGGTCGCACAGCTGGTAGAACATCTGTCGATACGGCGGCAGGGCCCCCTCCCGGAAGATGTAGACGGAGTCCTGGGGGAGCACGGGGGACACAGGCATTGTCAGCGGGAGCTCCCCCCGCTGCGGGCAGTGTCGGAGAGCCCCACACCGCAGGCTCCCGTGGGCCTCTCCCAGGAGCCAAGCGGGCAGACAGGCCCAAGGCCGGGAGCAGATGCAGAGAAACAAGCTCTGGCCCCCAGGGGGTTCTGGGAGGGGGAGGCAGCCAGGCCCCGCCGCGGCCCCTGGAACCGGAGCTGCTGCGTGGCTACGGTGCAGGGTGTCGCTCCAGCCTGGTGCCGGGCTGTGCTCCCCGTGCCTCCTGCGGTCCGTCCTCCTCATCCCGCCTCACGCAGCCCTGCACGCTGCCCGACGTGCCGCAGCTTAACCGAGCGTCCGTTTGCCTTTCCCCGCCCAGGCACGTCGTTCCGGAGGTGCAGACGGCGGCCTTGGGGAGGACGGCGGTGGCTCAGACGACGATCTGCCCGCCCCTCGCTGAGGGTGCTGACGGCCCGGAAGCTGCCCCCACTTCTGCCCACTCCCACGCTTGGCCACCCTGACACGAGGCAGGCCACACTCTGTCCCCTCCCCCAACTGCAGAGCCGCTCCCGGCAGCCCGAGCGTGGGGAGGGACCCGGGGGACTGCCGCCACTCTTGGGTGCTGGTGTTCACGGAAGCGTGGGCCTCGAGGGCAGGGCCCTGGGCCCGTCCACGTCAGCACGCGCTCCCCGCAGCTGGCGTCCGGGTGGCCTGGGCGGGCTCCACACTGCTGCAGGGCCCAGCTCTGACCACACAGTGGCGGCCACGCGCCCCACGCTCAGTTGTTGGTGTCTCGTTTCCCTCTGAGACCTGCGGCCACCTCTTTGTGGAGATGGTCCTCACTCCACACAGCCCTGGGTGGTTCGCACCCCAACTTCTCGCTGTTTTCAGAGGCTGTCTGGACGTGGGAGTCACGCAAAGGCTCTGGGTGGGCAGAGCCACCTCAGTCAGAGCCCCTCTGGGTGTCACAGACGAGGGGCCCCAAGGGTGCAGTGCGTGTACCAGGCCCACGCGAGGGAGGTGCGCCCCACGTCCCTCTCAACCCAGAGGGCGGCTGCTCCCCTGGGACTCCGGGGACACCCACCTTGAGCTTGTACTTGTTGGAGGCCGACTTCCGTGTGCCAGCCGTGCCCGGTGGGCCCAGGCCCTGTTTCAGGTCGTGCATGGAGACGAGCTGGCTGGCTGTGGGGGGACAGGGCAGTGCTTTGGAGTACAGGGGTCTCTCCCAACACCCCGCCTTATCTCCGCCACGGGGTGCGCTGGCCAGCAGTGCCCAGGTGGTCCCTTGGGGCGCTGCTCTTCCTCCCGCAGCCCAGACGCCCGTTGCCCTCAGCGGCCCCGGCCCACAGTGGCCCCAGGCACGTACGCGTCTTCTTGACGGTGATGGGGAGGCTGTAGTTGTAGGTGCTGCGCTTGGCCTTCACCGGCATGTCGCTGGGGGCGTAACCTGCAGACGAGGGGGGCGCGTCAGGCGCGGGTGGGGGCACACGGCGCTGGCCTCGCGCTGCAATGCTCCCGGGTGCAGCGGGGCCCGCTCCCAACACACGGCTGGGGAGGTAGGGGCCACCGCGTCCCGGCGGGGAGCTTGCAGTGCTGGGGCTCTGTGCAGTGGCTCGCCGCGGGCCCGGGGATGGGACACTTCCCGGATGACTGGCCTGCACCACGGGAGCCACAAGTCACTGTGGAGCAACCGAATGAGCGTGTGACCACGGTTCAGTAACGAGGTCGCCGGTGGAGCCAGGACTCAGCCTGGGTCCTCGGTCCCGTGGCATCTGGCTGTCACCGGGGAAAGGTCCTTTGCCCTCTCCTATGCACACGCTCTTATCACAAACAAAGAGCGAAAGCAAGGATTCGAGTCATTTTACCGTATTTCATTCCACACCGGATTCGGAAATCGAGGACTTGGTAAATCTTGGCTTCTGGGCTTTTCCGGGGGTCGTACCCATATCGAATCCACAGGCTTCTCCAGGGGCCCGTAATCTGGGGGCAGAGCAGGTGGGAGTGGAGGCGGGGCCAGGGCCCACCCCCAGCTCCCGCAGAGATGCAGGCCGGGTGCCTGCTGGGGGGGGCAGCGGAACGCCCCAAGAGTTGGGGACACGGCTCTGGAACCCTACCCCAGCTCTGCCACGTGCAGCTGTCACCTTGGACAGGTCACTTGGTCTTCCTGTCAGATGGAAACGACACGAGCCCCCTGGCGCCTTTACCAACGGTGCCTGGCACAGTGAGTGCTTAGTAAACGCTACCGCTGCCCTAATGGATGGGGCGCGCTGTCCCCAAACGATACTGCTGAGGTCCTCGTGTCTACAAAGTCAACGCTAGAAGACAGCGGCTCTCCAAGCCTGGGGTCCAAGCACCAGAGGAACGAGCCTTTCTCGTACCCTGCCGCCGCGAAGCATCATCAGCTGCATCTTACGCTGGCCTCTGCAGTGTTCTGCGTGGGGACCCTTGGCAGGCAGGGTGCCTCCCCCCAGCATCTTTGGGAACCTCGGTACTGCGACCCCCACCTCCGTGCCCACCTGGACTGAGTCCAGCGTGGCTCTCCCCACACCGGACCCCACTCAATCCAGAGAGGAGGAGTTGAGGCCGGTGGCACTGTGATTAGGGGCCCAGGCTCTCGGTCAGACAGGACGGGGTCCCCAGGTGGCTCTGCCACTCGCTGGCTCTAGGACCCTGGAACATCAAGTCACCTCTCTGGGCCCAGGCTCTTCCTCAGAGGGAAAAGGGGATTCTCGCTGCCACTTCCCAGGGCGGGAAGAAAGATATGACGTGCGTAACAACACTCAGTCCAGCGCCTGGTCCTCGGAGAGCTCTCAGGCCAAGGTCGTTGTAAATACGTGACCCTTGACTCGAAGGTCATGTGATTTGCTCCTAAATCCCAAAATCACCCCTGCGTGGCCGAGCATGTTACTGAGGAGCTGTGGAGGCCTCTCTAGGGGGTGCCACGATGGGGCCCCCTGCTCTTGCTGTGGCTCTGAGAGGCCACCGCAGGGACTAGGAGGACCCTGGTGGGAGCCGAGGCGGGCAGCTGGCCAGACACTCACCATGTAATAAGCCATGAAGGGCAGCAGGATCTTGAGCTTGTCTGGGTGGACGCTGATGTTGGCCTTGACGGCGTTACGGGACCAGATGGGGCGGATTTCAAACAGCTGGTGGGGGAGGGGTCAGACAGAGGCCGAGATGAGCACAAGCAGCTTCCTGCCCACCAGCCCCAGGCGCCCCCGAGGGTCTGGCCCGTGAGGACCCTCCCGGAGAGGAGTCGGGAGACAGCAGGGGCTGAACCAGCAGGGAGCGGCCTCTGGGTGCTGCACGCACGCACCCACCCGCCCCTTCCCTCAGAAGCATGGACTGCACACCCAGCATGTGTCACATGTGGCCGCAGGGCTAGGGGTCCTGAATGACCACGAGGGACACGTCTCTGTCCTTATACAGCTCACAGGGCAGCGGTGGAGGCAAATGACCAAAGGAGCTGGGGGCAGTGCCTGAGTTGGGACATCGTGAAGGCCGAAGGGACGAAGGGATGGCCTGGCCCCAGGCGGACTGCAAAAGGCCAGTGTGGCTGGAGCGTGGGGGGCGGGAAGGGCCCTGAGCCGGGGCAGGATTGGGCTGCGTCCAGTGGACAACGAGGAGCCCTGGAGAGGGTCCCCCATGTGCCCCTCCTGCAGTGGTTGCTGGAAACACAAGGCGTCCACACAGACTCTTAGAAATAAGCCCCACGCAAGGAACAGTCATGTCCGACAGGGAAGAGGCGGGCCTCGGTCAGCAGTGACGTGGCCTCACTGACACCCTGCTATCCACACCTGTGGGGTCGCGAGGACAGGGCCCCAGCCTGCATCTTTCCAGAACCTGCAAGGATCCTAGATGCCAAGGCAGAAGGCCACTTCCATGCCAAGGCACAGCCATCCTCTGACCTAACAGGAGGAAGCGCGGGGCCTGGCACACAGTAGGTGCCGTCTGGCAGGTCACACCAGGGAATGAATAAATGAAAGCTTCCTGGATCCCGGAGTCCCACGCTGCAGTCACATTCGGACAGTGCACCGACTGCACCACTGAAAGGCGCCTCTTAGAGACCTCTAAGGAGCACCTTCCACCTGGGGAAGCGGGGCTTATGCTGGCGTGGCTTTCGGACACGACACCTAGAGGTGAAATCGCCCAGGTACCAGGGAACCGATCCAAACAGGGAGTGCTGCCAAGGCACAGGCCACAGGCGCAGGTGAGACGGCGGGGCGGGCGCAGCTGGGCCAGCGGGAGGCAGGCAGGGCAAGGCCAAGGCCAGCTCACCTTCTTCAGCTCCTCCTCCACCTTCCAGTCCAAGGGATTGGTGCAGACCCTCCTCCACGTCTGGACCGCAGCCTCCAGTGGCTGCGCCGGCACCTCATCCTCTTCGAAGTTGACAAAGATGGCGTTGTGGGGGCGCCGGGCCCTGCTCAGGCCAATCAGGTTCTCGCCCGAGATGGGGGGGTTGTTGTAGCCTTCCCTGGGGACCGAGGGGGCCAGTGAGGGCTGGAGTGCCGAGGACGACCTCAGGCCCGGTTGGGCCAGGCAGGGGGCCACCAGGCCTCTGACGCCCACGTTTTTGTGCTTTTCCCTGGAACCTAGGTCAGGCGAGGGTCTTGGCGTCAGCTGCTGAGGGCGGGAGGCGGGGCTCAGGCTGATCGCCAGGGGAAAATGGGGCAGAGACTGCCAAAGACGACTAAGAAAGGCTCTGGGGCCTGCGGCTCTGAAGCTGGGCAAGGCCAAAAGGCCCCAGAGGCTGGTGGCCTCACGGCTGACTGAGTCATGCCCAGTACCGAGCAGCCCGTGAAAAACACCACCACCTGAATGCCCATCAGCCAGGAATGGTGAAGCCATTTAACAGCAGCCACACAGGACACGATCGATCAGCTGTCAGACAACAACGTGCTCACCAACTTCTACGATTCACTACGATCCTCGAAACAACCCACGAGGAAGGAACCATTTCCCTGTGAGGTCACTGAGGCCACAGGGGTTAGAAAGCTAAGCTCATAACAATGGAGCGGGGACGCACACCCAGGGAGGCTGGCCGGGGCCCCAGTAACCACCCGCGCTGCCGCCCTCTGACGGACCATGAGTCCAGCCCAGAAGCATCTGGACAACACCCAGATGAAGGAATAACAGGAATGGCCAGTGGTGTCGTCACGTAGCAGAGGCTAAAAGCCAGGGTTCGAACACCCGTTGCATCTGAGTCTCTCTGCGCTGGCACAGAGCACACCCTGGTGAGCGGGTCCCACGATGTTCAGAGTGGTCACCTCTTCAAGGTGGGGTGTCAGAAACGTCAAACTCATACTAAAGCCGGGAGGACGGTGCGAAGGACCCCCCCTCGGCCCGGCATCCGCTTCAACAAATTATCACTTGGGCAATGTCATTTCCCCCGTGCCCCACCCCACACTCACTAAATTATTTCAAAGTTAACTTTAAAGAATGTGCTGGACGTCATAGAATTTCATTCAGGTGATTATGACTTTTTAAATTTGCTTCCATTTAATCTTAATTGTCTACATGAGTGCGTGCCACCTGCGTATTTATAAAGGACATGTGAGGGAACACTATGACAAAGACAGGATGGAGCCTGCACCTGGTTTTAGAAGTGTGACTCCGTTAGGAACCGTCCTGAACAGCAGCAACATTACTGTCTTTAAAGACACTTCCACGAAGGACAGCAGCTCGCTGTAGGGGAAGGGCTCCCCACCCCCAACTCCAGCTTCCTCGAGGAGGACGGACCCCTGCAGCCCAGCCTCACAGACTGTCCTCTGCCCACCTGTCCTAGAAGAAGCTCAGCCTCTCTGGACAGAGTGGGGCCCATGGGGTGGCGGCTGGCCTTCTGCCAGTCCGCGTGTCCCCAGGGAGGCCAACAGAGCAGAACCATAGATGGCAGCCCTGGGAGAAAAGGCAGGTTCTTTCCACGCGCTGGAAAATCGATAAACCTCGAGGGGAGGAGTAAGGGCCTGTGGCTCCAAGGGCAGCCGGCCCTCCTCCCTTGTCCCTCTCCCAGAGGCTTGGGGACAGCTGACCGCTGGCCCCACACGACAGAGAAGTGACTCATGCTGTCAGTAGTGACAGGGACGCTATTCTTCTACATATTTTTGTTTGTTTCTGACTATAAGAGTAAAATGCTTGTGGGAGTAAAATAAAACATTTCAGAAATACATAAAATTTAAAAATAGATCATATTGCCCCCTGCTTAAAACTCGACTATGCTAACAATAACATCCACGGGAAATATCGCCCTGCGTGCACGGGTCTCGGCAGGTGGGGATGGGACCTGGTTCTTCCAGTCACATAGTTCTGGAACGTTTCGTTCTTCCTAGCAAGCACGACTTACCCTTGCAATCAGAAAAAGGGTCTGGCGGTGATGTTATGGATTCAGCAGGGACCTGAGGCGTCAATCACGGCCACCCGTGTGGCCCATCTGGCTGTCGTGTCACTTTTGAGACGACCGGGGACACTGAACAGGGGGATGTTGTTCAATCGGCTCGCTATGGTAACAGTATTGCAGTCGCATTTTTAAAAACAAGTCCTTCCCTGTGAGAGACACACAGACTTGCTTCTTGAGGACGTGCTGTGACGCTGGGGTGGGGGTGGGGAGACATGAAGGAGCAGCAGAGGCCACTAGTCACTGCAGCTGGTGAGGTGGGTGGGCGTCCAGCAGACGATTCTCTCTACTCTTGAGTATGCTTGGAACTCTCCATAATATATATTTTTAAAGGACGAGAACAATACACCTGCTCCTTAGGATGTAAACTAGGGTCTGTAAGACCCAACCCGCTGCCACTCTCCAGCTCCCTCTGGAGGAGGGGGGAGCACTGGTCCCCCGACTGCTCCTCCGATGTGCTAGTTCCCTGGTCTGGAATGTTCTCCCAGACTTCACCTGTCCGTCACTGTCATCCGTCAGGTCTGCTCCAAATGTCAGCTCCTCCCAGGGCCCACCCTGACACCCCAGGCCCCACCCACTCTGTCATGTAAGACCCACTCCCCTTTTCTCTCCCGTGACACGCATGGGGACACAGCCCCCACTGCCCACTTGCCGTACCCTCGTGTTCTGTCCAGCTCCCCCAGCCCCGGGCCGGCCCGGAGCCTCACGTGGTGTTCCCCACCAACGCCAGGCTCCGGGGAGCGTGCGGGGCCGCGACAGCTGGTCACTACTTGTTGAAGGAAATATGTCACGAGGGGGAAAAAGCTCCCACCCTCCCACCCCTCTGGACATAACTTTTTTCGGCCCAATCTTCCAGATTTTCCTAGGCTTCTGTTATCACACCACGGTTTATCTCGATACCATAGAATCTGCTCTAACACCTGCCTTTACATAGAGCAAAGTGCCACAGCCACGGCGACCCACGAGCCTGCTCTCTCACAGGTGACAAGGTTCCCCTGGGCATGGACGGGCCGAAATTTAATTAACCACGTCCCTCCTAAGGGGCCGATTTCTTATTTATTTATTTTATCAAACTCTACCTGGCACTCACTACTGTACTACTTCAAAAATCTTCAGTCATTTCTCCCTCTAAACAATGCAGGAGTGTGTCCCACGTCCCGGACAGACAGGACGCTGGCGGATGCGGTGGGGGCTCGCTCGGGAGCGCACGAGGTGAGGCGGCACCAGCCCCTGAGCACAGGCGCCCGGCACACCAGGCTCTTAGTTTCTCGCTGCTGCCAACAATTACTCAGTAAACGCTCTAAGTGTATCTGCGAGCTCTTAGGTGAGTTGCTGTGAGATAAATTCCTACAGGTGGGATCGCTTGGCCAACAGGAAAGAACATCTAAAATCATAACAGATTTTGCCAAATTGTTCTCCGAAAAAGCTGACCTCATTTTTCATGCCCCTTCGGTAGGAGGGTGTCTGTCTCTCTGCATCTCAGGGTTCATGCTTTGGGAGATGGGCCCTCAAGTCCCAAGGCGACATCCGATTCACCCTCTCTGGTGCGGGGACATCTCGGGGCCAGGCTTCTAGGAGGGGTGCAAGGAGCAGGCTGGATCCTGACAAGGAGTGTCAGGGCCCCGCATCACCAGCTGCTCTGCCTCTGGAGGTGCCGGGGCCACGGGGCTGGGCAAAGCTGGCAGCCCCCGGCCGGCCAGAGAGAAGCTGGCCCTTGGGAACCCAAAGTCAGCAGGTGTGGAAACTCTCCACTTTTGGAAGCTTAAAACATGCTATAGAATAATTCTTCAACAAATGTCACCACCTGTGGGCCATTTTTCGAATTGTCTTTTTCCTCTTGCTTATCTGTTTTCCTAATGTCACTACCCCAAATCTTCATCCACTGGGTCCACAAATACTTGAATACTTGGAAGCGGCCTGGCCAGCTCTGTACGACACAGGATTACGACACAGTACAGAAGGGGCCAATTGCTACCTTCAAGGAGCTTACATTAAAATTGAGACATTTTAAGCATTTTGGCCTTTTTGTGTGTCATTTGAAAAAGTGAAGCATGCAAAAATACAAACAGTATGGCACTGAGCGACAAGCAAGTCCCAGAGGGTCACAAAGTCAGGGGCTCGGGTGCTGTCCGTGTGCCCTGGACGAGTCACTGGCCCTGAGTCCCAGCTCCCCCATGTGTCAAATGGGGACAGCGGAAATACAGAACCTCTGCAGGGCCGAGATTGAACACGAGCAAAGCGCTTCCCCCATAGGCTCGCTAAGTTACGGGCTGCGGAGGGGATCATGTTTTTCTCAGGTTAGGTGTTTTCAAACTCACGTTTTCTTTTTTTATACCATTCAGTCTTGGTTTTTATACAAAGAAAGTCCCATCCTTGCATGTCACTGTGTGGCTCATCCCTGACGGAAAACTAACACTCGACACACTCAGGCCGGGCCTGCCCACCACCTTGGGGTCTCTCCCTACTGCCGGGATGGTCTAAATGAAAGAATTCATCATTTACACAAACCCAGCACTTGCAAGCGGTCTCGCTGGGGTGCACATGGGGGCGGGCAGGGAATGGGCTGTGACACAGACTGTGATATGTGTCCATCTAGCTTAGTGCCAGAGAAACCACCCTGAGTCAGCGGATGCCAGTCCCTTGCTCAGGAGCTTGTGTCTTCCATCAATGACCAGGGACTAAACCAAAAATGGCCATTTCTTGGCGGGAACCAAGTCCCAGAGCCAAGTTCCCTGTCCTTTCAAGGCCCTCAAGCTCGTGAGCACACAGGCCACCGCTCACCGACAGCTCTGTGTCCTCGGCCCTGGGCTGAAACTCCCTGTGCTTTGTAAAGTCCATCCCAAGGCCTCTGGCGGGTGGGTACTCATTACCCCGTTTCCGAGATGGGGAGCCGAGGCCGGGGAGGCTAACGGCGGGTCTGAGGCCTCCGACTCAGCAGCCGCTGCGGGGGCGGGGCTCACCGGTGCTGCGTCTCCGGCCGGTAGAAGTAGTCCACGGGGGTGTCCAGGCGCGAGAAGATGGGCGGGGGGATGTAGAGCGGCAGGTCCTGGTGGAAGAAGCCCTCCTGCTCGGGTTTGAGCATGAGCACCTTGTCATACATCGACGCGTGCCCGCCGCCCGCTTCCGTGTGCACGGCCAAGTACTGGAAGTCAGACATTCCTGGAGAGAGAGGCAGACAGGTGGGGGTCACTGCAGCCAGGACAATTCTCCCGATTCCACCTGTGTAAGAGGAACTGGCAGCTGCCACGTGCCAACAACCACGTGTCCTTAGGGAGGTGGCGGCTGCCAGGCCATGGTGCCAGAAGCTGAAACCACGCCCTTCCGAAATGTTTCCATGAACTTGGCGTGATGCACTCCAAGTCACTGAATAAACACTACTGTAGGAGCGGAGGGGTCACGTGATCTGTGAGCCGTCTAGGTCAGTGCTTCTCGAAACGTAATGTGCCTAAGACTCACCTGGGACCTTGCTGAGCGCAGATTCTGAGATGCTGCATTTCTAACAAGCTCTCGGGTGAGGCAGATGTCACCATCCGGTGACACACGCGGACTGGTGAGGTGCCGGTTTAGTTAGAGAGGTAAAAAATGCATCACCTGGAAAGCCTCGTCCAGGCAGGGACGGCCCCTTTGCTGAACATCGCGTCCCGCCACGACTGACGGTCAGAAGGCCCAGTTTCTTTTCCCTTCCTTTCTCCTCCTACCCGCTTCTTCCTCCCTCAGTCATTATGCTCCTCCGTGCTGAGAGCTGCAGCCACAGCTGCAGACATTCCTAAGGGCCCCCACGGGTGTGGGCTGGCCCCTGAACGGGCACCATCTCCCTGACTCTTCCCGAGGCCCAACGACCGCCGGCCCACCGCGCAGACAGGGAGACGGAGGCGAAGGGAACCGAGCACCCCGTGTGAAGAAACTCGCGATGCTCGGGAAGGCAGAGTTCCCATTCCCAAGTCCGAGTTCTTTCTTACGTCCCTTCCCACCCCCTCCCTACCTTATCACCTCCTCACTGGGGTTCCCAGTGGGTAGCAAACTCGATTGAAGACGCCCTGGAGACACCCAGTTGACCAAGAGTTTAAAGGAACGTGGGGTCCCCAGGGGCTGAGGTGATGTGAGAAGGCTTCAGAGGGGAGGCGAGACCAGCAGCAGTCAAGACCAAGTCTCAAAACACTGGTGGTTGAAAATCGAAAGCCTGATGACCAGTTTTATTTGATCCCATATGACATCTTTAAAAATTAGGACATTTTTCATAGAACCCTAGCTTCTCTGAAGAATGCACATCAGGCGGCAGTGAGCCCACAGTCTGTGGCTCCTGCCCCGCACGCCTGGGCACGGCCGGGCCCGCCTCACTGTGCAGATGACCCACGAGGCTCCCGCAGGCAGCGAGCCGGGACGCAGGCCCTGAAACAGCCCAGTGCAGTGAGGACGCACTCTGCGGTTACCTTGAAATTTGTAAATGGTGGAGACGATGCCAAGGATCTCCACGTCCAGCGTGACCTCGGGGTGGGCCCGGGACCCCGGCACCGCCTGCTGCCGCTTCGTCTTTCTCTTGATCCGGAGCAGCAAGCTGCTGGTACTGAAGCGGTTGGCACACACGGGGTGGCAGTAGGGGTCCTTGGGCCGGAAGTACAGTTCCAGCCTCTTTGTGGGGTCTGCGTAAATCTGGTGAGGCCAAGGGAGATGCATGAAGCAGTGGCCAACTAAGTAGCCAGCAGGGAACTTGTCCTCTCTCAACGAGAGACTGCTGGTGACCTAGGTGACCGGGGAAGGGCCACGAAGCTCGTGTTTCATTCTGAGCTCTTAGCTCCCCCAAAGACTCATTTTTCGAGCCCAAGTATCTTAGTTTTTATCTGGCAGAGAAAATGAGAATCCCCTCTTCTAAGCGGCTGTGAAGCTGGGGATGGAGCTGCCAGGTAAGTCAAGCCGTCCTCTGCAAGAGCCCGTTCAGCGCGGGGAACCGTGTGACTTTCCTGGCAGTATGTCATGGAGCGATTACCACCCAAGCTTACCACGGAGGTGACCGAGGCTGCGGGATCAAGCGACTTGTCCAGGGCTTCCTACTCTAGGAACTACCCACCCCCAGGGTCTTGGTACTCTGTCTCATGTGCAAATGTTTCTAGGTCCAGAGGAGATGAAATCAACCAGTAATAAGCATTTTGGCTCCGACTAGCTGGTGCTTATCCTTTCCAAGCCTTGGTTCCTTCTTCTTAAAATGGAGATAATATAAGATTGTTACAAGAACTAAATGAAAATACGTGTAAAGCACTTAGCCCGGAACCTAGGTCATGGAAGACATTCAACACGTGTCACCTACATATGAGTGCTTGCCCGACGCGGCATGTCAGCTGTGTGCATATGAAAGCACACAGTGTTCACTGGGACAAGACTATCTCCTTTCTAGTTAGCTGGCTCTCCAACATCCAGGACAGGGTCTGGCCCGTAGCAGGTGCTTGGGGAACATCTAGGGAAGGGAGGTTAAAAGGATCCTTCTTCTTAATAACGGAATTTAGCTCACGAGACTGTTGTGAGGACTCAGCATGTGATAAATAATTTGAAAGCAGGCACTCTCATGGATGTTAGGACTACAGGAGTGAACGAGAGAGACAAGCTCCTGCTCCCATGGAGTTTACAGAATTGGAGCCAACGGGCCAAGACAGACAGTACACATTAAAACATAATTTCAGACTGGAATTAACAGGTTGTGGAGGCAGATGTTAACTGCTAGAGGCCACTTTAGTTAAGGCAGTCAGTGAAGGCCTCGCTAAAGAGGAGACATTTCAAGATCCGGTGCACATAAAGCACTTACACGGGGCCGGGCACAGGTAAGAATTCATCCCAGCGCCCCCATTTCCTGGTGGCCTTGAACAAGTTGCCTCAATTTCCTTGTAAAACGCGGACAATGACAGATCCTGCCTGGCAGGGTTCTAATGAGGATCCCATGTAAGTAAAGCACCGAGAACTGTGCCGGGTACAGAATGCGCCGTTAGCTATCACCGCCTTTAACACTAACAGAACACTTCGCCTCCCTCTCACGTAGGTCAACGGTTCTTAATCTCGGCGTGCCTCGGTTTTCTGCTCCGCGAAAAG